TCCGTCACCTCCCCGCTCCTGGCACCCCGGCGCGCACCGGTCGCAAGGGGATTTAAGGAAAGAAAAAGGAGCTTTTCGTCTTTTAAATGCAAGTGCTCCCATGGCCCGTTAAGAGCGCTGCGTCCATCAGCGAGGGGATGGAAACTGCCACTCGGAAGCAACGGGGTGGGGGTGGAAACTGCTCCCCGGGAGCAGGGAGGAGCAGGCGGCCTTGGGGAGGGCAGCACCGCGCTGGCTCCCGAGGGAAAGCCGGGCTCAGGCCCCGTGGGAGAGGCAGACACACGTCCCCCTGCCGCTCTCCGCCCCGTCAGGAAGCACACATGGAAAGCCTGTGTGAGCAGCCTGGATGCTCTTTTATTACAAGCTATTCAGTGTTATTAAAATCCCAAAATGTGTAGTAAAGTCCTCGACAAGCACGAGGAACCCGAGTGTGCCACTGCGGAGAAAGAGGGCTAGTGCTTCCTGCCGTAGATCGCGGCCAGCGCTTTCTGGGCGTTGGAGATCTGCTGCTCTAACCTCTCGCGAGTGGCTTTGTTAGCAGTTTTTCTCAGCATGCCCTCCATCTCCTCCACCACTGCCCGATAACCGGCACTGTTGTGGAACACCCGGATGGCCCGATCCCCGCTCGACACCAGGTAGCGGCTGTTGATGTCAAAGGCTAAGTCCGTGATGCACTGTCCATGGACACCGACAAAGCGCTCCTCCTCTTCTCCTCTCCGGGTGTTGTACACAACAATGTTGGTGCCACTGGAGATGGCCACGACTCGAGCATCAGGGGACAGGGCAATGCGACATGGCTCCGTCACCTCACACTTTCCGGTCAGAAGCAGGTATGGATCTTGCTGCTTCTTATATTCCACATCCGTGTCCCAGAACTTCCACGTCCCATCCTTTGAAACAGTTGCCATCCTACAGCCAAGACAGAAGGCAGAAGTGAGAGCAAAGAGGGGTAGTACCAACATCTCTTCCACATCTGCAAAGCAGAAATCCGGCACATGGCTGGGGAGCTCTTTGGGAAGCATGCGTCTGCGTCTACATATACGTATGCATTTAGCCCTCATCCTCTTTCCAGATCAGGAAAAAGAGCCACCCCCTAGGAGGACCTCCATGTGCAACAAGGGAATGGCAGAAGCACATTTCCAGATCAGGATCCCCTATGAGGATCTTGATGTGCAACAAGGGAATGGCAGAAGCACAGTCAGGGTTTTGCCGCCGTGGGCTCCTGTTGCTCCGGATGAGGCACAGAGCTCCCACATGAACACAGACCTGTGCTCTGGCAGGCTGCCCGTTCACCCTGCAAGGGACCAGCCCACCCTGTCCCAAGGGCAAGCTAAGTATTTAAGTCAATGAAAAAGGAAAGAAAAAGGTATCCTTACCGCCTGGAGTCATTAGAGAAGGAGAAGGAATGCACGCCAGCTGCATGGCCTTTCAGCTCAAAAGCCCGGGTCACCTCCCGAAAGTCTCCGCCCTTGCTAAAACACACCTCCCACACCTTCACATCAGGGGTGAAGCCACAGGATGCCACAAACCTGGGCAAGGGGACAAGCAGAGACACGGCATATTTGTAAGAAGACACCTGCTTCAGCCAGTCGCTGCCATCTGAAGCCCACGCTGTCCCCCAGGCGGCTTGCCAGGAGAGGGTCACCAAGAACAGCAGTACTGGGGCACAGCAGCAAACCACCACGTCAGGGTGCTCCTGGAGGGACTTTCTCCAGGGCTGGGATGTCATATTTGAAAAGAGGAAGGCTCAGAAAATTTTAGTAAAAATAACAGTCAACTGCGGATGGACTGAGCCAATTAGCCTTTGGGGAAGGAGCACAGCTCCTGTTTATTCCTGCAGCCTCCTGCTCCATGTGTGGAATGGCCTGGACTAGCCTCACTGTCCTCACCTCCCGCAGGGTGACACGGCTGCGTGGGCGTTGTTCATCTGATTGGTGTTAATGCTGGCCAGAACGTCACCCTTCAGGTTCCAGATCAGGATGGTAGTGTCACTTGACGCTGTCATGATGAACTTGCCTGGGAAAGAAAGGCAAAGATGAGGAGCACTCCCAAGCCTAGCACTGCCACAGGCTTATCAAAGGTGCGGGCCAGGCCCTAAGCAGCATGATCTCTCTCTGCCCCAGAACAGGCAAGAAAAAATAAAAGCAGCACCAAACTTCCAGGAATGGCGATCCCCTGGCAGGGAAGTGGCTTCTAACAAAAGACTCAGCTCCTGGCTTCACATTAGTACTTGACTTAGCAGCTATCAGGTGGAAATGGGCACTCAGAGCAGGTGTGCTGCTACTCCCCGGCACCTTTCGCATCCCATTTCCAGCGTTCAGCGAAGAGCTGGTACCACGGAAGCGACAGAGCGGCCGTGGTCTCCCCTGGATGGTTAAAGCACAACTCAAAGGGATTCCTTTTGCTTTCAAGCCATGGCTCGCAGACAATGAGCTGCCTACAGGTCATGCTACCAGTATCTATGATTACTGCTTGCATAAGCCTTTTTGAGCTCTGTTTTTTTTCCATCCTATCTCAGTCTGGACAATGAGCTTCGTATTTACCTTTAGGCTACTTGTTGCAGGGTTTAATTTTTCAGATCCACAGCTGAACAAACGTCTCAATCAATATTTTCTGTACTCCTCTGTTAAGGGGAGAAACTCACAGCCACTCTTAAAACTTCCTAGCATCAGATACCTGAAGCAATAACCTATCAGGCACCTCACCACTAACACAGATGCTCCCAAACTGTGTTTCAGAAGATCACAGAAGTTCAGGACTGACCATATGCTCCCAAATTTATGAAGGCAATGTTTATGCTTAAAACGTGCAGGCCAAAAAACAGTGATGCTCCCATGTTAAGACAAAAACTTTCTGTAACAGTACTCTGAAAACATAAATTAAGAAACTGTGCATATAGCAAAGCTGATGTTGTACTTACTGCACTTACCCAAGCTGAAAATTATGTCTTTTAATTTATTTGGTAGCAAAAAGAAAGGTAAAGAGTACACAGAATCAAAATACGCCTTGAGTACGCCCAAAACTGCAACACTTTCAACCCAGAGCAGCTGTTATTTTACAAGGAAAACAGAGCAAATCCCTTGAAAACACAGGCAAAATGAGCAACTCTGTCGGTTCCATACCTGTCTCTGCAATTCCTATGTTAATGACAGGAGCTTTGTGCTTCTTTGGGAAGTCCTCGGATGTTGCAGTGAACGTGAAGTTGCCATCCTCCTTCTTGGTCATCTTATAGACACGAATAGTTTCGCCATTTGCCAGCCAAACAATGAATGCCCTAAGTGAAAAGACACTCTGAATTGCTAAGAACAGGCTATCCTAGTTTGGGATAGCTGCAGCATGTGAGCTAAGAGGTCATTTAGTGACATCCTGGGGAAGGGACACTGGGACAGATGAAAACTGTCAGAATTTTACAAGTGTGCAAAGTTCTCTGCCTGTTACCCTGTCTAGAAAACTAAATGGAGAAGCACAAGAATTAGCACTTAACATCTGGAAATTAGGTCCCTTCCTCAATCTCTCTCTAAATTAGGCCATTTCATGGAATGCCAGGCAGGCTTTTCCAGCAAACCTCCCAGCGCGGGAGAGGCCTGCACAGCCGCGCAGGGAAGGTTACCCTGTCTAGAAAACTAAATGGAGAAGCACAAGAATTAGCACTTAACATCTGGAAATTAGGTCCCTTCCTCAATCTCTCTCTAAATTAGGCCATTTCATGGAATGCCAGGCAGGCTTTTCCAGCAAACCTCCCAGCGCGGGAGAGGCCTGCACAGCCGCGCAGGGAAGGTCTGCCGCTCAGCCCGGCCCAAACAGGCACCTCGCGTGGCGGCAGCCCCCGGGTCAGAGGGATGTTTGCCCCAAAC